TATGTAAAGTGACAGGCAGAGGAAGGAGTGTATCTAATGGTTCTGAAACCGCTATTTTAATGTCCACTCCAAATACACCGTTGAGCTTTTCTTCCACTCCCGATGAAACATAGCCATAGGAGGCGCTTCTGCCCGCTCAGCGTATTGTTACGCTCTTGTGGCTCGTGAGTTTGGACGTCCCATCCTCGTTTATCTTATCCCCAACGTGAATATCGTCTGAACTTTTGTGCATCTATTTAACGGCAGTATTTTAGGCCATCAGGCACCGCTGTGGGTTTGGCCGTTGGAAGTTCGTTGATTTCCTAAATGGCAAATATATAATATCCACCAGGAAGTAGCTGACTATTGATCGGATTTTATCATAGGTGTTCAAAGTAGTCTATGCTGCTGGATTTCCCGGGCCAGAGCAGGTTATATTGTTTTTAGGGAATCAGTCAAGGCCTCCAAATATCCAAGGCTTGATCCAGAAGGCCACAACCCGTGGGAGACCGATGTCCAAGTAATCGGATCACAATCTTTAGGTGCCCATTAAAGTCAATCTACATAGCCTAGAAGTTGAGTTTCCTATGTTTCTTATTTGGTTGGGAGTTAAGTTAGTAGACAACTTCCCTTAATAAACTGCCGGTGGTCCTTAGACCCGTTTATAGCCTAGGTTATCAGCTTTTATTTTCAGTTCCGCGGGAGAATTCCACCACGGATGGCTGATTAACATCTGACTGCTTTGTGAGACACGTGATCGCATTGGAGTATTTCGCTAGGTGCGAGATGAGGTTTACTGAGCATAATCTCAGTCACCTACCGAATGTATTGAAGCTTTTGGAGGCTTCTTAGGACTCATCAACCGTTGCAGTTCGAATCCCTTGAGGGACAAATATCACGCAATACCGACGGGTTCGAAGAAGGCGTCCGCTGCTCTGAGCAGCCTTGTGGCTAGGTTCTTGAAAGAACTAAAGACGGGTTGAGGACCCTAATCGTTATCCTGCTTAGTTGCTGTACACCCTAGCAGTACACGTCCATCAACACCCAATGCATATGCACTGCGAGTTTGGCAGCGATCAGTGAAGTTCGCTTCCCTGTGTTACTATTTACCACCGGCTTGAAAACAAGCATGGTGCCAACGCAACAACAATGACAG